CTAATTTACTACTAGGACCTACTATTGCTTGATATACTATTAACGAATTAATTTAATATCAGGACATACAATTGCCCAACTTACTACTACAGGCTAAATTTATTTCAAAAAAAGAATTCTGGAAACCTAGGCCAAAATCTTCATACGCATGTAGTAGTTTAAGAGACGCTGTTGTGTTGTAGATAAAATACTCGGTGAATAATAAGTATGGTGACTGTGTCAGCATTACCAGCAGCCCAGGAATCTTGGCCGATGTAGCACCATTATTGTGGTCACAATATGTTTGAGTAACAATCTCTTTACATCCTATAACTCAGATTTCAATACTTATTTCAGTATACGATTGAAAGTTTCATGATCTCACATATACTCACCAGCTACACAACGACATAAGAGTACCTGATTAGAAGAAATTTTAAATACAATTTTTCACAGGAAAACCTATACATTAGTAAATTCAAAAACAATTACTGAGCATACAAGAAAACGAGCGTATATTGAAGACAGACTGATATATTCACAGAATTCTTCGAGCCCGCGGAGGTCATCAACTACGTCGTACAATCTACGGATCCACGAAATTTCTCCCACTATGGCTCTATATACATTCTGCTGTTCAGATACGAAAAGTATTGTAATGCCATTTAAAGTTCTTGTAAAAAATATTGTAATATAGAACGAACTATAGTGCATTTACAATTTCCACGCAATATATTACTGCGTAATATATTGCAGTTCTGCTATATCAATATATGTATATTGATGCAATGTTTCAGTGTCTACAGTACAGCTATGCGTTAATATTGCTATGACTTTTTATTATACATTGTTTAGCTTGAATTATCAGTGTGATGAAGCAATATATCGTATAGCTCCATATATCATTATAATATTTCACTGTCGTAAGTCTGGCAGGAATCGCTTCGTGATGATTGAGTCATCTAGAACATCCACAAGTTCTTACCACTACCAGGGACTGTACTATAAAAGCTTGCAATATTGCACGTAGCATCCTAAGTGCACCTCGCGGCTTAAGTACACGTAGTGTCTTAGTTATACGAAAAGGCTTAAGTACACGTAGCGTCCGAAGTACACGCCTCGGCCCAAATACAAGTAGCATCCTAGGTGCAAGTAGCGGCCCATGTACATCGTAAGTACACGTAGCGGCTTAATTGTACGGGGAAGCTCAAGCACACATAGCAGCCTATTAATATAGCATAGCAGCCTCCTAATTAAACGTGGCGTGTCAATTACATATAGCGGCCGAATATTAAGGCCGCTACGTGAACCCAGTTAAAATTTAGGGCAGTGAATAGAGCAGGCCGTCGCCGGCTGCAGAGCCAACGTAGAGACCCGACAGAGTCGCGATAGAGCAGAAATGTCGAATTGGTGCTAAGTCTCTGTTTGAACGTGACAAATTCATATATATTCACCAAAGAGATAGAAAATGGCAGGTAGAATTAGCATATTATTTGTTGGATGAATATGACTCATAAGACAAGATGAAATTATCTTCACTTGACGACGTTTACCACGCAGATGGTGACGTAAAACTTCAATGCACTGCGCTTAGAAGTCGAGGCCCTGGGGCTAGTTCTCGGCAGTCACCACCGAAGTCACTGAGAATGAATATGGCCGCTGTTGACGGGGCGCGTTCCTGTCAACCGAACAAAAACAGGACACAAGACGGAGCCTTCTTGGAAATCTACATTGTGTTGTTCAGATACAAAAGTATTGTAATGCTTAAAGTTCACGCATCAAAATTATTGTAATATTGAACGGTTTACAGTGCAGTTACAATTACCACTGCAATATATTACTGTGTACTGCGCATCAATATATATTGATGCAATGTTTCAGTGTCTACAGTACAGCTGTGTGAGAACATTGACATGACTTCGTATTATTCACTGTTCAGCCTGAAATATCATTGCGATGATGCAAGATATAGTATAACTACGAATATCATTAGTTCAACGTTTCACCAGCCGTACATAATATTGTAAAAATAAAATGTATGATGAATTAATGTAGAATGATTGGTAAGATAATTTGCTCTTCTGCATTTAAGTATTATATAATATTTAAGTGATAAAATAATTCATTAGAAGGCTTGGTCTTGTACAACAAGAACTAACTTCATTAATTCATTCAATAATATAGTAAATGTATGCGTGCTGGTCTCTTGCATAGATCTTGTCTAGAATCCCTAAAGAAAAACAAAGATAATGCACAAAAAAGCTATTTAATTAAGCTTCGCTTATTATTTTCAACAATGTTAAATACGACACCTCCCTGGTGTGGGACTCTCCTCCCTGGTGTGGGTGGGACTCTCCTCCCTGGTGTGGGACTCTCCTCCCTGGTGTGGGACTCTCCTCCCTGGCGTGGGACTCTCCTCCCTGGTGTGGGACTCTCCTCCCTCTGTCTCTTATACACATCTAGATGTGTATAAGAGAGCAGGCTGTCTAGTGCACTAGTGCAGGCTGTCTAGTGCAGGCAGTCTAGTGCAGGCTGTCTAGTGCACTAGTGCAGGCTGTCTTGTGCAGGCTGTCTAGTGCATTAGTGCAGGCTGTCTAGTGCAGGCTGTCTTGTGCAGGTAGTCTAGTGCAGGCTGTCTAGTGCACTGGTGCAGGCTGTCTAGTGCACTGGTGCAGGCTGTCTAGTGCAGGCTGTCTAGTGCAGGCTGTCTAGTGCACTAGTGCAGGCAGTCTAGTGCAGGCTGTCTAGTGCACTAGTGCAGACTGCCTAGTGCAGGCTGTCTAGTGCAGGCTATCTAGTGCAGGCTAGTGAGGTTCATTTAATATTATGTTATCGAAGCTAAATTATTAGACTCCAGAATGTTTGATAAAATGTTAGTGTTTGCTTATAAATTGTTTTTTTTATATCATAAGGTCATTTTCTGGCTTATTTACAATTAACGATTAAGTATAAAATATTATACGCAATATGGTGTTATATATTATTATATCATAATATTATAAGTAATATGGTGTTATATAATTGAAAATAAAATGTATAAAAAAAAATTTTAAAGACCACGTTTTTCATGTGGACTCAAAAGTAGAAAATAATTTTTCGGCAGCTACTGATCTCTGTTAACCTTAACCTTTATTACCGTCTATATTTTACTATTTTAACGGCTAACTATAGCCTATGATAGATATATTACTTTGCTATATATTATGTAGAAGTAATATATCAGGGCAATATATTACTTAACAATGAAATAACTCAAAATAACCTCTTCCTTAGGCTGAGGCTCATAGGGATCCGTACTAATTTTCCACAGAGGCGTAGCGTTTACAATTGACAAGGCTTCCTGAAGCAAGAGGCTCAGTTAGTTGTACGTGAGGCCACCGGCACTCGTCTGGATGCATGCAGCATCCAGCGCACACTTCAACAGGCCCTTATTTCTCTCCCAATATCCACGGAAGAGTGGCGCGTGGGGTGAGTTAATTATCCACACGAAGTTCACCAGGCCCTTATTTCTCTCCCAATATCCACGGAAGTGTGGCGCGTGGGGTGAGTTAATTATCCACACGAAGTTCACCAGGCCCTTATTTCTCTCCCAATATCCACGGAAGTGTTGCGCGTGGGGTGAGTTAATTATCCACACGAAGTTCTTCTCTTCTCCTGGAGAGTCGATGAAGGACCAATTTCGCGTACGCATATCCCACGAAATTTGTTCCTCAATCGCTTCACAGGATTCGGCAGTCCCCGCTAATCGCACTTAAGTAACGCAAATAATTTTCAATGCGGCGCTGTTAAGAGACTGTAAAGCCTTCACGTGTACAGGACGAGACGCTTGACACACGAAAATCACAGCCCACATTTTCTTCGTTCCACTCTGTCGCCGAGTCTGTCGTCCCATGCGCACCTACCAATGTCCAAGTCATAACTGAACTACTCAACTCAATTATCCGATAACTGTCAATGTTACCTATTAAGCTAATGCAAATTCAAGAAATTTGTCAGTTTTACATCTATGCATTGGCTTTATTAATTTCAGGTATGTTGGCTAAGTCGTTTCTGAATTGGTGAATTATCCAATAACTGGCACAAATGGAGAGTGGGCAGTACCAACACAAGAAAACTGTTAATTTTTAACCTGCGCAGTGGCTTTAATAAATTTCGTTATGTGAGTAAATCTAACATAGCCTAAACTAAACTAATCAAAATACCCATTAACCTAATAACGTCATTGAGCTTCTGAGATTGCAAATCACATTTCTTACCGCGAAAAGGCATGTGAAAAAGATAAGAAATGTAGATATATATAGCGCGTCACTGATAACAAATATCAGCACTTCATTGATATATTCGTTGCTTAGATCATTTGTTATGATTTCAATTTAAATACGACGAATTTTTTCTACCATAAAAATGTTGTGCAGATATTAGAGAAATATAGTTGGTATTTCTCAAGCTACAGTTTTCGCACTAGATGCTGTTAATATTGAGGAGAAAATAGCAAGTACTTCATGAGCTTGAATGAAACAATATGTAACCACTAAATTTATTCATAGAATGTAATTTTAACAAATACTACACAGGAATAAGTACGTACAATTTTGATGAGCATAATTTGTTAATAACTGTAATTTTTATCAATTGCTGATCGTAATAGCAAAGGAATAATAAAATGCAATAATGCGCAGGCAAGTTAAAGCGGATGTAGACAAAATATCATTTGAATATATGTACAATAATAATTTTTATTTATTGTACAATTAAATTCATCATTATAATATTTCTGATTTAGATTTAACCTGAATAATATCGCACCATATTTGTATAACTGTGGATTATTATGCTACAAAATCAATACACGATTATTATTAACTATATTATAGGGGAAATAAATCTGTTGATAATATGGTTCACCGAATGAAAATGTTTTGCCATTAATAGGAAGCTTTTAGTGAATTAAGACAATAATTCACAATCTGCTTTCGCAATAAAAATTATGATTATAATGGGCCTATGTTAAATTAAATTAAAAATTATTAAATTATGATGGGCCTCTCATTAATTAATAAAATGAATAAATCATACCAACTGTTGAACCTTCTTCATTGAACGTCTTTTAATACCGATCGGGAACTGCGACCCCCACTCCAGAGAAAGCTTCCTACACGTACATGATGAGGTCAATAAACCTTGCAATGCAAAGTATTCCTTGTATAGAAGTGTTAGATACAAAGTATACTTTGTATAGAAAAAAGAACTGGGGTTTCAGGGCCAAACGTCATTCAGGGAAATGTGAAATCCGTTCCCTCGCGAGTTGTCTCTCACGAAAGATACCCTCTTTTGTGGAAGATACACCTCATGAAGTATGACCTATCAAATGATAATCTACAAGTAAAGATGTCATCTCGCGAAGAGGACTTTTCAGTTAATGTCCTTGTTTAAGAAAGATGGTCCTTCTCGAAGGAGTCCATTCCCTCATTCATGTCCCCCAGTAAGAATGGTTTCCTTCAGAGTTGCCCATACATTAGAGGACGGGGGAGTCCTTAAGAATGGCCGAGGCCCGCTGGGTGAGAATGGTTAGTTCGTTTATGTGCCTCTTGATCTTCTCTTTTCTGGCAGCGTCGTTTTCGTCGTAGTCGTGCAGGAGGTCACTGAGTCCAGAGAACCCGGCGGCCGCGTACGCATCCCATCGCGGTGGCGAGAACACAGAGTGTCTGCAAGAGGTAAAAAAGTAGCGTCTTAGAACGCAAATCACGATCGGGAAAAATACGCATGGTTTAAATAACCCTATTATGTATGGTAAGTTAAGAAATTGTTTAAATGATAAAAAATTAATCGTTCCTCTGTTGTAGTCCTATAACCAGTCGGTTAGGTTGTAGTTTTCTCGTCTCGTCTTGTTATACTGGCTCTTTTAGATAAAACGATAACGAGACTTCGAGTAATCAAGAATTAGAAGATTTCAATGAGATTTATAAAGTATTATTGGTATTACACAAGAGACACAGTCCATAGTGCACCTGTAGAGGGGACGGTCCGGCAGTCCTCCGGGCAGGACGAAGGTTCGCTCCAGGGCCATCAGCTGCTCGTTGACAAACCGCACCCGCATAGCTCTACAAGAGGGGAAGACAGAGTGACGTTGGTCGGGGGTAACTGAGGCAGGGTAACTACAACACGTTGGTCTGGGGTAACTGAGACAGGGTAACTACAAGACGTTGGTCTGGGGTCACTGAGACAGGGTAACTACAAGACGTTGGTCTGAGGTAACTGAGACAGGGTAACTACAAGACGTTGGTAACAAGACGTTGGTCGGAAGTAACTGAGATATTTCGCAAAGAAAATAGCCGAACAAATAGCCAAGATCAAGTGCGCGTTGGTTGCGTGTGTAAGCTCGCGTGTGTTGCTCGGGATGTCGCGTTTGTGGTTTGCTTTGCGGCAATATGGCATCGCGCTCCTCGATACTCGCGCGCGGTGCACATGTTGAATACTTGAAGTTGGTCGTAAGTTGACAAGTTGTTTAGCTATTGTGTAAAATTCTCTTCTTAACTGAGTGGGCTCAAAATAAGTTACAACAACAGGACAAATTTTCCTAGTTACGTCGGTCGTAACTTCACCAATTTTGATTAGTTACATTAGTCGTAATTTTTGCTATCAGTTAGGTTGGTCGGACCAGGATTCAATATATTTTAGTTGCAGTTGTCGTAACTAGAAAAATTTGATGTTAGTTACGCTGGTTGTAACTAGACTAATTCACCTAAAATACGTTAGTCGCAACTGGTCCAATTCACCCTAAATTCGGCCCAATTTACCCCAGACACGATGATCGTAACTTACGACATACGACGCTGCCCCTTAAGCGACTCTTCAAGGCGCTGCGTAGCTACGACGAGCTCGTCCACGGCTGCCGTGAGATACTCTGAAATACGATGTGTTCAATTAACTTAAAATAATGTAACATAACAATAATAAATGAAACAGAAGCATAGTACAAACACATCAATTATCCATAGAATATAATAAAATAAAACTTTTTCTTCATTTAAGATTCTCAAAAGGGCCTCAGCTCAGCGTACGGTGACAGTAAGAAAGCTCTATCCATTTACAGAATGTATGGTCTTATTATGTCTTCTTTACAGAATGTAAAGAAGACATAATATTAATAATTAACGGACATTATATTTATTTCACATAATTTAAGAGCATTGACAGGATGAACTTCACTTTACAGAGATTGTGCAGAGCAAATAATGTTTAAAACAATGTAAAAAGGGACGAAGCTCATAGTACATTATGTAGCGGGACTCATGTGTGGTAGATTCACTGTACTGGTAGACTCACTGCTGTGGTAGACTCGCTGCACTGGTAGACTCACTGCACTGGTAGACTCACTGCACTGGTAGACTCACTGCACTGGTAGACTCACTGTACTTAGGGTAGATGCGCAGCAATATCTCCTCCTTGCCCTTATCGTGCAAGGCCTTCAAGGCGCGTCTCATTGCGATGGGGAAGAAGGATGGGGAGAAGGGGATGATGCGGGAGTCCGCGAGGCTTTTGAGGGTTAGCAGGGCAACCCTGCCGCAACCTGCCGGGGGTTCAGGGTTAAATGGGGTTCATTTCAACCCCATTAATATAATTTAATTGTCAGTCCATAATTAGAATTCAGTGTTGCCCCATACAGACCATAACATATCAACGGGCATAACATGTCAACATAATTAACACACAAGACTATTCACAATTATTATAAATGAATAAGAATTTATAATAGATAATAATGCTCCGGGTAGCCAATAAGTTAAGGTAACCAAGATTGGAGGAACGAGTCGGAGGCTCGAAACCCGCGACTAATTGTGAAAATTTTGGTTTAAACGTGCTAGGTGGCAGTGGTGAGAAATTGGCGACAGCTCAACAGATGCCGTATCAAAAGCTGATACCACGACATTATTATATATTATAATGTAATTGTACACATATACTTGATATACAATTAATAAATAATTTTGAACCCTATCATTATATACTATAAGCAAGGTAATACGAATGTACAAACAAGAGAATTCACACAGATGTTAGGCACATAGGTCACACGTACCTCGTTTGTCCCCGTATGGTCACTCACACGTACCTCGTTTGTCCCCGTATGGTCACTCACACGTACCTCATTTGTTCCCGTATCGCCACTCACACGTACCTCATTTGTCCCCGTATGGTCACTCACACGTACCTCATTTGTCCCCGTATGACCACTCACACGTACCTCATTTGTTCCCGTATGGCCACTCACACGTACCTCATTTGTCCCCGTATGACCACTCACACGTACCTCATTTGTCCCCGTATGACCACTCACACGTACCTCATTTGTCCCCGTATGGCCACTCACACGTACCTCATTTGTCCCCGTATGGCCACTCACACGTACCTCATTTATCCCGTATGGCCACTCACACGTACCTCATTTGCCCCCGTATGACCACTCACACGTACCCTGTATAACACGGAAGCCTGGGTCCGTGAGATTGGCCAGCATGTGGTACGTCTCGTACCCCGTATGGTACGCGGGGTACGTCCCGGGGTGCTCCGCCTGGTCAATTAATTAATTAGCATCACGAGTTAGCTATTAAATAATTAGCATCAATTAAAACGAGCAATAAATCTGCCTATTTAGGAATTTCTATTAATTAATTAATTAAGCTTATAATGATAATTGTTAACATAAAATTAATGGTTATACAAAATTAGGCCATAGACTCATGGTTTTAAGTTAATAAGGAGACTAAAGTAGCTGGTGAAATATTATTTGGATCTTCATTCTTTTCCCAATTTATCACTAAAAGTTATTTTCAACTTTTCATCTCGGTACTTTCATCGAGCGCTTTCACCCACTAAATCGGATAATCACACTTCCTACATTAAAAACTACCTTACCCTCAAATTGAAATCTAACTTACCGCGTCCATTGAATCCAATTTTGTAAATTTGAATGTTTCACTTTCCCCTTAAATTAAGACGCATCTATTTGAAGTCGGATAATATCAGTTTCAAATAGAATATAATTCTTCCCATAATCCCTAAATGAAATCCTTATTACTCCTATTACCTGAATGCACTTGAACCCCTCCTCCTCCTCTCCAGAGGTCCTTCTTACGCCTGAACTCCCATTTCCCCCAATTGTTCTCCCAACCCTCTCATCCTCCACACTCATTGCACCCAAACCTCCCCACCATCCTCCCATGCACCCCACCTGTTTCAACTAAACCCCCTTTTCTCCCCATCTGCACTGCAACCCCATCCTCTCCCTAATAACCCGCTCCTCCTCACCTGTCTTCCCCATCTCTTCCTACACACCGGGTCCTCCACTCACCTCCTCACCACGTCGTCTCTCCAATAACCCACCTCCTCCCAACGTTTTTCTTAAAACCCCCTCCTCCCCACCTGTTCCCTCATAGCTCTCACCCTCTCCCTTATCACCCACCTCTTCCCAACCTATTCCCCTCATCTCCTCACAACCCCCTTACCTGGTTTGCCCGGAACCACACATCCAGCGAAGGTATGCCGAGGTAGAACAAGAACGCCGCGTAGTCGCTGCCTGAACCCAGCGTCTGCTGCCTGTGGGAGGAGGTGGTTATCTTATTAGGCAGCCGCCTCTGACTATCGCGCCTCCGCCCTTATTTGGGCCAGCTGATGCCCAATGCTGTTGCTTGCTTCTCGCCATCGGTAGAGGTGCAGGGGCGGTCGATCAAGGATTGTGCCCAATAACACGTCCAGTAGTCTCTTGAAGGTCTTCAGGGTGAACTCCCTCTCTCTTAGATCATTTTGTAGGACGTTAAACAGCCTCGGCCCTGCCACGGGAAGGGAACCTTCCCGCAGGGATTGAAATCTGACCGCAGATCTGTTACGTAGTGGGGGGATCAAGCATATCTCCCCCTTCTCTCGTTATGGTATGTCTTAATCTTTAAGGTCTCGCTTTCGAAGTTTGGTTCTATTCCGGTTATCATTTTCCATGTGTACAGAATAACATATTTCTCCTATCTCCTCTGCAGACACAGGCGCTTCAACCTCTCTCAGTAGTTCAGCTCTTCCATCTCTCTGATCCTGGAAGTGAAGGTTCGTTAGAGTCCTTCCCGTTGCCGCACTGCGCCGAGTGTGAACGGAGGTCCAGAGCTGGCAGTAGCATTCAAGAATTGGTATTACAAGGGCTCTAAAGGGTGTGATCATCGGTTCCGTTTCTCTTGTTCTGAACGCCCGCCAGATCAACCCCATCTTTCGCCTACCTCTTGCGGTTATTGCCGCTATGTGATCACCAAACTTGACCTGAGTCTTCATCAACACTCCTGGATCGCGAACGAGTCGCTTCTCTTCGACTTTCGAGTTGTCCGGTGCCAGGTAGCGGCGCTCCATACCAGCTCTTCTGGTTCCCCTGTTTCTCAGAAGAACCAGAAGGTGCCTCTGTGTCTCCCAAGTGAACAACTTCATGTTGTTAACTTGGGCCCAGTCATATATTGCAGAGAGGTCTTCTTGCAACCTCTCGCAGTCCCTCCTGTCCGTTATGGTCATTAGTATCCAGGTGTCGTCCGCGAATGACGATGCAGAGGTGTGGTTCACTGCCACATCTATGTCGGCGATATGAATGAGGAAGAGGATTGGGCCGAGTACCGTTCCCTGTGGTACTCCACTCTTCACCCTACCCTCGCTCGATCTAGAGCCTCCTACAACGACAGCTTGTAGTCTTTCTGTTAGGAAGCTATGGATCCATGCCAGCAATTCACCACCAGCCCCCAGTAGTCTTAAATTTCTGAAGAGCCTCCATGGTCAACTTATTTGTCAAACGCTTTCGCGATGTCCAAATACGCCACGTCCACCCCGGCCCTCTCCTCCAGCATGGCCAGGATTTGGCGGTGATGGTACTCACACAAGTTAGACTGGTACTCACACAAGGTAGACTGGTACTCACACGAGGTAGACTGGTACTCACACGAGGTAGACTGGTACTCACACAAGGTAGACTGGTACTCACACAAGGTAGTCTGGTACTCACAAAAGTTAGACTGGTGTTCACACAATGTAGACTGGTACTCACACAAGGTAGACTGGTACCACAGTACCATTCTACAAGGTAAACTGGTACTCACACTAGGTAGACTGGTACTCACACAAGGTAGACTGGTACTCACAGAAGGGTGACTGGTACTCACACAAGGTAGTCTGGTACTCACACAAGGTAGTCTGGTACTCAAACAAGGTAGACTGGTACTCACACAAGGTAGTCTGGTACTCTCACAAGGTAGTCTGGTACTCACAGAAGGTAGTCTGGTACTCAAACAAGGTAGACTGGTTGGTACTCACACAAGGTAGTCTGGTACTCACACAAGGTAGACTGGTACTCACACAAGGTAGTCTGGTACTCGTATGACGAACACAATTTTTGTGGATTTTTTTAGAACATTGTTTCGCTTCTGATTTTACTCAAGAGATTTAACTTATGTATGACTAAGTAATGCGTAAACATATTTTTATTTCATGACTGTAATATGGAATTTCGTTTAACTGTGATATTATTTTGATGATTCTTAGGATATAATTGTTAGCGTCTTGGAACGAGACTGAATGTAATAGCTGCAACGTGATTGGTTGAGCTCCTCCTAGCCTCGCGACGGTGCACGCTTATGCCTCTAGGTAGTCATGAACGATGGAGAGTTCGGTCACTTTAGAATTAGTTTAGGATTATTCGACTTTCAACTGTGATTAGTTTGCCAAATGATTAAAATTATGATGACTTTATTGAATTGTATTATATTATCTATTTTTTGCACTTACAAAGTGTTAACAGTCTGTTTTGTGCTCTTTATAGGCGGGGTGTCGTGTTGCCATTGTTTTGGTGGAGTCGCCCCTTGCGGGCGAGTGGAAGTTGTGTCTGCTCAGTGATGCTGGGTTGGGGCGCATCAGTTTCGGTTTGAAGCAAGGAGCGGGAAATTTAAACTTTCAAGAATAAACTCTGCCTTAGATCTCGGCATAACTCGTAAAAAGTGCCATTAACGGAGTAATAACGGCATTAGTGGAGTGCTTGGATAGTTCCGGATTTGGGCAGCGTGGGGCGGTTAATAGCCGTACCATTCGCACCCTCGTGTCGTAGACGCTTATAACCTCTGCGCTCGAGTAACTTGGCAGCGGCTTATTGGAGGCTCGTACCCTCCAATAGTCGTGCTTTTGAGTTGTAACTGCCACCCCGTTCCTGTGTGGTTGTCGGCATCGTGGTGCAGCTCGTACCTGTACCCGTGCTATCCGCTGTTATGGTTCTCAACAGTTTATTAGGTTGAGATCATGTCTCCCGGAGCTTTTGGGCTTACAGTGAATGATGAATTGTGTGCCTTGTACAGTGGAATTTGTGTATCGCCTGAAGATCACCAATATACTACGAAAAGTCCCTCGTCTTCATTCCTCCTCTCTCCAACGCAAGGGAATTTAGAGTCGGACCAAAGAGCGACTCTTTAGCCCTTGTGTTAAACCCAATACGGAAGTCACCGTCAAGTCGGCACGCTACCCATAACTATTTCAACTTCGCGGCGGAGTTTCCGGTTACACAAGGTAGACTGGTACTCGCGTAAAGTAGACTGGTACTCACACAAGGTAGACTGGTACTCACACGGGATACTCGGCAGCGTCGGGGTACTTCAGTTTGTCGTTCTCGATCCACTCGTCGAGCAGCGACTTGCCGGCGTCGCGTACCCCGGGCACCTTCAGGGTGGAGGGTACGATAGTTAGGGGGTAAGTTAGGGGGTACCTTAGGGGGGTATGGTAAAGGAGTGTGTTTGAGGGGGTTAAGTTGAGTGGATGCTTTTGAGGGATACGTTGGGGGGGGGTACGTTAGGGGTTACGTTGGAGTACTTAGAGTTAGAATACTTAGGATAGGTGCGTCAGAGAGTACGTTTTAGGTCATACGTTAAACCAGCTCGCTACTATAGACTTGTTTTGTTATGAGGGTTCACATTAGGGGTACGTTAAGAAGGTACGTAATGAGGGTACGTTAATAAGGTACGTAATGAGGGTACGTTAAGAAGGTACGTAATGAGGGTACGTTAAGAAGGTACGTAATGAGGATACGTTAAGAAGGTACGTAATGAGGGTACGTTAAGAAGGTACGTAATGAAGGTACGTTAA